CACTGAATTGCACCTGTTCAAACCACAATGCTTCATTTCTAGCAACTAATTTTGTTTATGCTGGAAATGCTTTATCTGCACTAGGAGATGCCTATTTTGGTCACATTGTTACCGTGTGTTATCATATTCTTGATCTGCGGCACACTGGGGCTTCTTGGTAATACTTCTCTGATTATTGCCACATTCAGAAATAAGTAAGCTTCTTGATTTAAAATTTCAAGAAAATTTTCGTTCATTTTAGTCAATCTGCAAATCGGAATATGCAGTAGGTATACACGCAAGTAAGTAATCTCACGACAATACGGGTTTTTGATTTCATCAGTGGTGAAAAATCGCACGAAGTTTTATAATCGAAATCTTGATGATCGAAGCTTGTCGCATTCTCACTGATTTTCACGTAATGCGCTCTTTCAATTTGGAAAGCGAACAGTGCATGTTGCTAGACAAGAATATATATTATCTTGATTCATGAAAGACAAATACTGAAGGAGGCACGTCGGTTGCAACAAGCTCCAGAAATCAGCGAAAAGGAGATGGGACAACACACCGGGAGTACTGGGGAGTATAACTGCGCCAGGACTGCCAATTTGAGGTTTTTCGCTAGCAAACCTGGATAGTTTGCACATTATGCTTTTAGACCACGGATGAAAAAAAAGAAATTTTTAATTTTCAGGAACTTGCGTGGACCATGTAATATACTAATAGCACTCAATGCTTTCGGCGATATATTTCATCAGTTGGCGCACATTCCACTGGCCTATTATACTTTTACGGGTAACACGTATGCGCCGCTAAAGACGTGTTTTATAATTCAATTCGTTCCCAATTTCTTCATGAATTTTTCTATGTTCTTGCTGCTGATGATTGGTATCGATCGTTTTATTTCTATCAAATGGCCATTAAAGTCTGTTTTCTTTCCTGAACTATTCAGTGCTTTTGCCACAAAAAATACTAAGAGCTCGAAAATAACCAGGCTTTCACGTGCTGGACGCATTTACTTTGAGCCCTTTGATCTTTAACTTTAGTTGGAATCCATCGACACAGCTACTTTGGGCCTCTTGATCTTGGACTTTAGACTGTTCGATGCGTGCGCGCCACACTTTCCCGAGCCACTCAAGTGGTCGTTTTCTTTTTTACAAGTAACAGTTGCTAATGTGTGACATCCGTGAATGTCGGTAAGTCGAGAAACATATCCTGTTTATTATATTTTGCACTTTCGTTACTTCACAGTGATGTTCTGTGCGTCACTCTCATTTGACAGACAGTTTGGCCGTTCATACAGCAAAGCATCCTTCGATTCATCGTTCTCACTGTCATGACCAACAGCTGCTCTCCAGCTTTCGCAAATGACCACTTTCCACATCCATGCAACATTGATTAGACTATCACGCAAAAATTTTACTTTTTAGGTTTCTTCGTTTTTGCGAACAAAAAAAAAGGTGCGATGCACGAAAAGAACGACTGACTGCATTTGTTTTTTCCTCAGCAGTTAGTAACGGTAGATATTATACATAATTTACTTATAGTTATCAAGCATTTCGAAAAGCGCACTATCTAACGTCAATGATTGCTCCAGCAATACTTTTTGGCGTACTGAATGTTTGCTGTGCTTATTACACTGATTACAACAGCAAGTGAGTTTTCCAAATATGTTAACACGCGTGTGGCCAGCAAAGTGATTTTGCGGGGTAGCACATATAGCTATAGATGAAAGTGAATAAAAGTGAATACCTGGCTGTTCAGTGAGCAGTTTTCCGGCAAAACGCGAGAACCACGCATGCCTTGGGCTGAATTTGAAATCTTTAAATTGTGTAAGGGCGGAGGATATCTTCTTGACATTTCAACCTCCCAGGTTTGTTATTGCCGAGTCAGCAATTTTCTTGCCAGAAATTTCGCGTACCAGCACATCAATATCACACGCACCTCGGGGCTGTGAAATTTTTAAATTGTATGTGGACGAAGAATATCCCCTTAAAACTTCAGCCTACCAACTTTTCTGGTTAGCGAGTTAGCATTTTCTCTGCTAAATCTTTCATGCTTTCGTACGTGGGAATCACCAATACCTAGGGGCTGAATTTGGAATCTTTAACCCAAACATGTGCAGAGAATATCCCTGCAAACTTTCAGCTCTTTGTCTTGTGTGGTTCCCGAGGTCGCTTCCCCGCTAGAAAATTTAC